GGGAGATGATGGGTGGTGGAGGGTGGGTTACAGCAGGTGCATACACTCGGCAGTAGTCACTGGGCGGCGTTTGACACAAATGTCCTGTTGGTAAATATGATCTTAAGAATGACAGTAAGCAAATGTTGAAGTCTAGTTCATGATATACGTGCTGAAGTGTTTGCGGGTGAAGTGGACTGGTGTTGCAACTTACTGTGAAATGCATTGGAGAATAAGAGGGACTGTAGAGAGGGAATGGCTATGCGGTCAAGTAAGTCTAGTAAAATGTTCATTGTAGAATGTAGGTAAATATATGAGTGTTCACTAACAATTCTTTCAACTTTGCTTGTAAATTTGAAATTTTTCTGATTTTCCTGAGAGAGGGGCCCTGTGTGACTGCAGAGGCGACAGCCCCTGAATCGTGTGGTTCTGGGAGGCGGCCAATGGGAAGGTCTTCTGAGAGGGCGGCTTTCCGCCTAAAACCAGGCTGCCCGCTGCCTGCCGCGAGAAAGACAGTGCCGCCGCGCACGTCCAGCCGTCCAGCCTGCCACCCCTCCTCCAAGCCTTCCCCTCACTGGCACAGTGCAGTGCTGTGCCCCATGGCCTCCGGCTGTGTAAGAACTAATCTAGAACGGAGGGGTCTGAGGTTTCTGTGCAGCGCGTTATTGTTTCTAAAGGTTCTGAAAGGAGTAATGGAAGAGCTAATCTGGCAGCTGTGGGAGCGCTGGACGAGAAAGGGACAGATCTGCAAAGAGTCTACTGCCACCATGGAGACAGTGAGGGGGCCTCACCTGGCTGTGGGAGGGGCTGATGCCCAGCCCCGAGGTTCCGTGGAACAGGTACACAGCACCCCGGTTCTCCTCTTCCCCCGGGGCCCCGATGGCCACGTCCGTCAGCTTGTCCCCATTCACGTCCCCCATGGCGGTCAGGGCTGCCCCAAAGCGGCCCCAGGGGTGGCCCTGCTCCCCACGGAGAATGGCCCGGCACTGCCACCTGGCCCTCCGCAGAGCAGAAACAGTGCCAGTCCCAACCCGGGCCGCCCCTCCACCCCACATCCAGGCCCCACCCAGCCAGGCCTCCTCAGCCACTCACCCCCCGGGGCGCGGGGCACACAGACACCTGGCCCCCCCGGGTCGGCTCGTAGTAATGGGGAGCCCCGATGAGGACCAGGTCGGAGCTGCCATCTCTGTCCACGTCCACGGAGCAGAGGGAGGCCCCGAAGTAGGAGCCAATCTGAAAGAGACGAGGCCAGGGTCACACCTACAGCAGAGTGGGGGGTTTCTCCCTGTGAAGAGAAACCATGGCTGCTGGGCTGGAGAACGGCTTAGGAGAGGATGTGAGCCTCTCTACTCTCTGTAGTTGATGGCAAATTCTCATTTGAATGCGCTGACAGAGAGAGGAGCAGAGTGACGGGCAGTGGCGAGGATTTTACCCCAAATAGTGTTATAAGGAGATAATTAAGATAACAAAAAAGAAGTCGGACTGGAAAATATAGACAGAAAAGCCTGAAAGAGCAGACAGATCTTCTCAATACATTGGAAGTTTTTGGTCGGGAGCGAGGGGGGGTTGGGGAGGGTTTCAAAGTTGGTAGTCTGGCTAATAAGGAATCAACTAACATGGATTAAAAATATCTATTACTACAGGAATGTTTTTGTGTGATATTGAGAAATAATGTCTACCTTTTAAAAGAATTTTTTTAAAAACCCACAAAAGTATGTTCAATGTCAATGTGTAGAATTCACCCACAGGATTCATCCATTTAGTCATTCACCTATTCATTCATTCATTCAATAAACAAGGGTTTGGAGACGCAGAGCCTTCCAGGGCTCTTGGGCAGCATGGTGGAGCAGAGGGAATAGTAACAGGTAAACAGGGACATGTCTACAGCAATTTTGAACTGAGGCAGGTTCTAGGAAGGAAAACTGCAGGGGACGTCAAGACTGACTTCTGCCCCCAGCATTGAGACAGGCCATGCTGACAGCAACAAAGGCATTTAGCTTCATCAATAGTATTTTTTGTTTGTTTGTTTGTTTTAGGTCAGGTTTATTGGGGTATAATTTACTTACAATAAAATTCAGCCTTCTTAGTGTAGTTTTATGAGTTTTGACAAAACACACAGTCATCTAACTATCATCATGGTCAAGCTATAGATCAGTTGCATCACCCCCAAATACTCCCTCATGCTCCACGGTAATCAACCTCTTCCCTCAACCACCAGCCCCTGGAAACCACTGATCTCTTTCTCTCCCTATAGTTTTGCCTTTTCCAAATGTTATATAAAGGGAATGATATAGTATGTAGCCTTTTGGACTACATACTATATAGTATTTAGCCTTTGGGTGTGGCTTCTTTCACTAGAATAATGCATTTAAGATTCATCCATGGTGTTGCATGTATCAGTAATCCATTCCTTTTTATTTCTGGTTAGTATGCCATCATATCTACCACAATTTGTTTAGCCATTCCAGTTGAGTGACACTTGGGTTGTTCTAGTTTTGCACAAGTATGAATAGAGCCACTAGAAACCTTCACATACAGGTTTCCGTGTAAATATCTGTTCTTATTTCTCCTAGGTTAATAGTAAATACCTAAGAATGGGATTGCTGGCATGGGAACTATATGTTGAACTTTATAAGATACTAGGGACCTGGTGCACGAAATTCGTGCACTTGGGTGGGGGTGCCTCAGCCCTGCCTGCGCCCTCTTGCAGTCTGGGAGCCCTCAGGGGATGTCCGACTGATGGCTTAAGCCTGCTCCCCATGGAAAGTGAGCCTAAGCTGTCAGTTGAACATCCTTAGCACTGCCATGGAGGCAGAAGAGGCTCCCCCCACCACCGCTGCACTTGCCAGCCGTAAGCCCGACTTCTGGCTGAGCGGCCTCCTCCTGTGGGAGTGCACTGACCACCAGGGGGCAGCTCCTGCATTGAGCGTCTGCCCCCTAGAGGTCAGTGCACGTCATAGCAACCTTCAGTTGATTTGCATATTAGCTTTTTATTATATAGGACTGACAAACTGTTTTCCAAAATGGGCATGCCATTTTCCATTCTGACAGCATTGTATGAGTGTTTTAGTTGCTACATGTCCTTGCCAGTACTTAATATTGCCCGTTTATTTTCATTTTATGCCAACAATTCTAATACATGTACAGTAGTCTCTCATTGCAGTTTTAATTGCCTTCCCTAATGACTAATAGCATGGAACATGTATGTGTTCATGTGCCTATTTCCCATCCATATATCTTCTTTGGTGAGGTGTCTCTTCTAATATTTTGCTTATTTTTTATTAGATTGCTTCTTATTGTTGAAATTTGAGAATCCTTTATATATTCTAGATATATCCTTTGTCAGATATGTAATAAAAAAGGAAGGAAAGCCCTAGCTGGTTTGGCTCAGTGGATAGAGCGTCAGCCTGTGACTGAAAGGTCCTGGATTCGATTCCAGTCAAGGGCACATGCCTGGGTTGCCAGCTCGATCCCCAGTAGGAGATGTGCAGGAGGCAGCCAATCAATGATTCTCTCTCGTCATCGATCTTTCTCTCTCTCCTTCTCCCTTCCTCTCTGAAGTCAATAAAAATATATTTTTTTAAAAAGAAGGAAAATTTACAAATATTTTTTCCAAGTCTGTAGCTTATTGTTCATTCTCTTAACAGTGTCTTTCACATAGCAAAAACTCTTCATTTTAATAAAGGCTTTTTTTTTATCAATGTTTCCTTTATAGATTATATTTATAGTATTATATCTAAGAACTCTGCCTAACATAAGGTCACGAAGATTTCCTTCTATGTTTTTTTCCAAAAGTATTGTAGTTTTAGATTCTACATTTAGCTCTATAATCTATTTTAAATTAATCTTAATATGATATGAGGCATGGGTAGAGGTTTTTGTTTTCTTGGTTTTTATTATACATGTCCAATAGTTCTGGCATCATTGAACTCTCCATTCAATTGTCTTTGTGCCTTTAACAAAATCAATTGACTAGTCCTGGTTGGTGTGGCTCAGTTGGTTGGGCATCATCCCATGCACTGAAAGGTTGCTGGTTTGATTCCTGGTCAGGGGCACATGCTCAGGTTGCAGGCTTGATCCCCAGTAGAGGGCATGCGGGAGGCAGCTGATTGATGTAATGCTCTCACATCATTATTTTCTCTCTCTCTCCTTCCATTCCTCTCTCTCTAAAAAAAATCAATTTAAAAAAATCAACTGACTAAAGGCTTTCAGTCAAGACAGTGGAGTAGCTAAACTGTGTGCTCACCTCCTCCAGTGATCACATCAAAATTACAACTAAACTATAGAAAGCCGTCATTGAGACCACCTTAAGACTAGCTGAACAGAAATCCTATAATTAGGGATACAAAGAAGAAGCAATGTCAAGACTGACATGAGGAGTGGAAAATACAGGAATTGGCAGGTCCAACACCCACAGTGTGGCGATTACGAATTGGGAGAGATATCTTGTCTGTGAAGGTCCCCTCTGAGGAGTGAGGGGTCCCAGCCTCATATTAGGCTCCCCAACCTGGGGCACCAGTGCAAGGAAGAGAAGCCCCCACAATATTAGGCTGTGAAAACCAGCAGGGATTGTGTTGGAGAAAGACAAAGGGCTGCTGAATACCAAGACACTGCTCTTGAACAACCCACGCACAAATGCACTTGCTCACAAACCCACTAACTCTAAGCTCCAGCATAGGGACAGTAGCTCAAAAGTGCCGAGGACACATAAGGAGGAACTAGATTAACTAACTCGGGGTGAGGGCTGGAGAGGCAGGCTGCAGGGCAACTCTCCCTAGGGCCAAGTGTGCTGGCAGGCACCCTTATTTCTTTGTTGAGGGCTCCCCGAGAACCTGCCCCACCCAACTCACCCACCTGGCCCTAGCTTCCTCCAGCAGCTCCTCCACACACACAGCAGCCTGCCTCAGCTCATGCCATGGACTTTCCTCAACCCTGTCAAAGGCCCACAAACCCCAACAGCAGTGGCAGCCTCGGCATACCTTGTGCCTCTTGCTAACTGGTCCAAGCCTGGCACAAGCCCTAGCCAGTCTTGGCTTGAAGCATAGTTTCAATTAATCCGCCACAAGCACAGCACAAGTGGCAACTTGTCTCAGCTCACATCGTGGTGCCCACGAAAGGGTCCTAAGTCTGACACAAGTGGCAGCCAGTCTCAGTTCACAGCATAGCCTCTCCCAAGCAGCCAACCACAGACTATTTTCTAGCTTCTACCATGTGGCCCTGGTCCCAGCACAAGGGCTGGCTGATTTTGGCCAACCCTAGAGCCCATCTCAAGAGGCTCCAAAAACAACATACCAGTGGCTGGCTTCATACCACACCAGAGCACCACACAACCAATTCTACAAATAGCACACCCCAAGGGCAGACTTGGCTGGTACCAGAGCTCTGCTAAAATGACACCCGCTTTGTGGGGTGAGCCCCTGCACAACAGCTCACCCATTGTAATCACAGCCAGCCCTCACAGCCATTCAGCCTGAGGGTCAACACCACCCACTGGCATGCCAACTGCAATCAAGACTCAACTACAGCAGGAGGGCACACACAACCCACACAGGGGGCATACCTAGAGCACCTGACTTAGGTGACCAGGGAGATTGCACCACTGGACCCCACAGGACACTTTCTAGATAAGGCCATTCTCTCAAGACTGGGAGACATAGCAGATCTGCATATTACATCGTGACAAACACAGGGAGTCAGCCAAAATGGGGAGACAATGAGACATGATCCAAATGAAAAACAAAAAAAAAGAACTCAACTCCAGAACAAGAATGAAACAAAATAAAGACAAGCAATCTATCAGATGCAGAGTTCAAAACACTGGTTATGCCCTATGTGGTTCAGTTGGTTGGAGCATCATCCCATACACCAGAAAGTTGCAGGTTCGATTCCCGGTCAGGGCACATACCTAGATTGCAGGTTCAATCCCTGGTTGAGGCATGTATATGAGGTGAAAATTTGATATTTCTCTCACATTGATGTTTCTCTCTCTCTCTCTCTCTCTCTCTCTCTCTCTCTATCAATGAACTTGTCCTCAGGTAAGGATTTTTTTAAAAAAACCACGGGTTATAAGTATGTTCAATGAACTTCAGAGAAGTATAGATTAATTCAGTAAGAACTTCAACAACGAGGCAGAAAACAAAAAAAAAAAAAGAACCAGTCAGAAATTAAGAATACAATAACCAAAATAAAGAATACATTAGAGGAATCAAGAGCAGAGTAGATGAAACAGAGGA